TCAGAGTACTTCATATTTATTGGGTTAGTGAAACTTTTGTCAGACTGGTAATATGCAGTGCAGAGAAGGAATGAGCAGATTAATTGTGTAGATGCTAAGGTGAGAGGACTGTGAAGAGATAGATCGCACTAAGAAGGGGAAACAATAATATCAGGTGACAGCAGCACATACTTTGTATTAATTCTCAAATCATCAATATGATTTATGGAAATATGTAGCTTGCCCTCTTATCCTAGACATCATTTTATTTTAGAACTGTAATAATAATTTTTAAATGCTGTTGATAGTCTGGTTTTGCACATGACTGATTTCTATCTTGGCATGATTTTTATAATTCCAACACTCCTTACCGATATGGATTTGGATTTTTTAAATATTTTTTTAAATGTCCAAATCAGGGGCACCTGGGTGGCTCAGCCATTTAAGTATCTGCCTCCCAGTAAGGTTATGATCCCAGAGTCCTGGGATGGAGCCCTGCATCGGGTTCCCCGCTTGGCAGGGAGTCTGCTTCTCCCTCTGCCTCTGCCCCTACTCATGCCCTCTCTCTCTCACTCTCTCTGAAATAAATAAATAAAATCTGTGGCGCCTGGGTGGCTCAGTTGTTAATCGACTGCCTTCGGCTCAGGTCATGATCCCAGAGTCCTGGGATCTAGGCCTGCATCGGGCTCTCTGCTCAGCAAGATGCCTGCTTCTCCCACTCCCACTCCCTCTGCTTGTGTTCCCTATCTCGGTATGTCTCTCTTTGTCTGAAATACTATAAAGAAAAGGGAATTAATCAAATGAGTTCATTTATGTAAAAGTAGTATGATATATTACTGAAAAATGGACCCCATGTGACACATATAAAAGAACACAGGACTGAAAAGGCATGGACAATTCAGAGTTGTGTGGCCCTTAACCAGTTTCTCAGCCTCAACCAGTTTCCTCCTCCACAGATGGGAAAAATAATACAAGTTTTACATACATTTTAATATTATTTCAGAACAAAATAAGAATGATGATGTATTCATTTTGAAATTTGTGAGGCACTACTCAGATGTAAATGTTATACACACAGGTGAAAACAAAAAATATTTTAATTATAATTTTATCAGGTATAACTTACCAAGCCATAAAACTTTCAGAAGTTGATGTCCGGGATATCAGTTTTTTTGTCACTTTTATTCAAATACTGATACCATATTGAAGACATTATAACAAAAAATGGAAGGTCATTCTTTATTTTTGAAAGATTGGTATAGGTGTAAAACTGATCTTAATTGTTTGAAGACTTTACTTGGCAGTACTCCATAGTTCACTCAAGAATACATGGAGACATGGAAATCACGGGTCTTACTATTTTTAGTCACTAAAATTCCTTTAAGAATCTAATGAAAGCTAAGGGTCCTCTTCCAGAAAAATATTCCTATCATCTGCGGATGGATTTTGCAAGGAATTTCAAAGGGGTTCACATCCATGGATCCTAGTAAAAACCACATCTTACCTTAGATTGACATCTAGTAGACTTAGGAGACTTCAGTAGACTTTAGTGTAATGGTCTCCTCCCTTCCAGATTTCTGTTTTCCAGATTATCATAGCCTTCTCTTAAAGACTATTATAGAATATATAGAAGTTTTCCTGCCCAGCTGCACCTCCCCGCATTCTGTATTCCATCTAGCATCTGTCTCTTAAACAGTCTTTGTTCCTGCATTCAGTCTACCCCCCCCCCATTGCGTTCCCCAACATTCTCTTTAAGATTTGGCTTATTTATTTGAGTGAGAGAGAGTGCATATAAGCAGGGGAAGGGACAAAGGGAGAGGAGAAGCAGACTCCCCACTGAGCAGGGAGCCTGATGCCGGACTCCATCCCAGGACCCTGGGATTCTGACCTGCGGCGAAGGCAGGCGCTCAACTGACTGAGCCCCCCAGGTATCCCTTTTCCCCAGTATTCTTCATCAGTGCTCACTCTCAGGGGAGGCAGTAAGAGAGGGAAGGGCTCTGAACCAAGCTAACAAATAAAAAAAGCAGAGGCTCTGGGCAGAAATGGAAACTGCAAGTAGGTAGCAGCAAGGCTGGAATAGTCTGAAAAACCAAACTGTTGAGATGTTTACCAATTTGCAGTTATACCAATCCTAAACACCAAACATATGAAATTATTTTTTTAAAGATTTATTTATTTATATATTTATTTAATTTAGAGAGAGGGAAAGCACAAGAGCAGGAGAGGCAGAAGGAATGGGAGAGAAGATCTCAAGCAGACTCCATGCTGAGTTTGGAGCTGGACACAGGGCCCGATCCCAGGACCCTGAGATCATGACCTGAGCTAAAACCAAAAGTCAGACACTTAGTGGACTACACGACCCGGCACCCCAAATATTTGAAATTCTTTGTACAGGGTTCATTTGTAGACAGCTTTTTATTGAGATTCTCTAAAATTTGACCATTCTCCACCTCTAATAATATAATATGAAAGTGATTTTTAAACTGTAAAGGATTAAAACAGTGTAGGGAATATCATGTTGGATTATGACATGATTGGATGTGATGTGAAGAAAAGTTGCACAGCATCACATCCACTGCATGAAATGTCAGCCAGATGGAAAAACAGACCAAAGGTTTTTTTTCTCTTATAGTCCATCTAACAACTGTGTATTTTTCCAACTTTGTAGAATTTTAATTCTCAGATTTTCTGCTTTTGCAGTACGTCCTTAGCCTATTCGAGTCTTAATTTGATGTCATTTCACAAATGGCTCTCGATACTCTGTCTTCAGATACAACCAGCTTACATAAGTCAGCATATGTTCACAACAACCACAACAAAATCCAGGGCAAATATTTAAAAATGCAGACATATTCACAGAATACCAGAAGAGCATGCTCTTATTTTGTAACTTTAGCAACAATCGCTCTAGATCTCTAAAAGTGTTACTGTTAGAAAATGAGAGTAAGGACGTATAGGTTCTTCATGAGCCAGGTGTAGTCACTATTTTGGAATTTTGAGTTTTATTATCAAATGTTGGTTTAAGTTTTTATATTCTAGTGCCAACATGATCCATGACAATCTTTTCTTTGAGGTAGCTTTAGTTTTTTTATTATTTTAATTTGAGTACTGTTGACACAGTGTTACATTAGTTTCAGGTGTACAACTTAGTGATTTGACAAGTTTATACATTATGCTATGCTCACCACAAGTGTAGCTGCCATCTGTCCCATTACATCGCTATTACAATATCATTGACTGTATTCCTTATGCTGTGCTTTTTATTCCCATAACTTACTCATTCCATAACTGGAGGCCTGTAGCTCTCTCTCCCCTTCACCCATTTTGCCCAACCCCCCACTCCCTCCCCTCAGTTTTTATATCCCTCCCCTCTGTTCTGATTCTGCTTTTTGTTTGTTTATTCTTTTTTTTTTTTTTTCAGATTCTATTTATGAGTGGATTCATTTGGTATTTGGCTCTCTCAGTCTGACTTATTTACTTATTTCACTTATCATAATACCTTCTAGGTCCACCCGTGTCATCTCAAATGGCACAGTCTCATCCTTTTTTATGGATGACAATCTATTTTTAAAATAAAATCTAGGAGAAGGTAGCAAACTACTTAATAATGAATGTGAGGTATTGAATTAGAGTATTATTTTGTGCTTTTAAAAGTATTATTGATATTGCAAGGTGAATTTTTGCGGTAATATTATGATGCTGATAAGCAACATTGATTTTAAGATTTCCACATTTTATAAGTGGAAAACAAAAGGCCCAAATATTTAAGGTGTGGAAATTCTGCTGAAGCAGCATTAACAGTGAATTAGATTCCCATTAGGTGGTGTTCAGTGAGAGAGGATGTGCATATGCAGGGTTTGAAGAAATTTACAAGAAAGAGAAACATTTTTCATTCAGAATGCCAACAGGCTTCATTTGGTATCAGAAGCCTGGCTTTCAGTGTTCACTGTGTGAGCTATCATCACCACTCAGGATTCTCACTTTCTTAAAATGCAGTAATATACTTTTGATAGACAATTCAGAGAAATTAATAGCAAATGATAGAGAAATTGCTCTTTTCTAGAGGGAGAAAAGACATTTGATGCAGAGAAACAATGAGGACATGGCTATGAAATTTAAGGCTACTACGTACTGTATTTTCAGTGTATTTTTTATTAAGCTTTCATTTACTTGTGTCAAATTAGAGTCCCTCGTCTTAGCAGATTAAAACCTTTTATGATCCTTTTGATATGGAACTATTATTTTTCACTTTTCTTTATCTTGCAGACCCACTGATAAATTCTTCAGTTTCTTCAGGCCACGTGTCCTCTTTTAAATTTTAGAACCATTGAATTTTAGAGAAACAGCATTCTAAAGAAAGAAGTTAGAGTGTAATACTGTAGTTTGTTGACATAAAGAAATATATTAGAAAGCAAAATGATCTTGATAGGCTTTGAAGAGAAAGATCTTTGTGGGCATTTAAAACACCAAGGAATTACAAGGCCACGTTGAAGAGCACGTTAGTTAAATCGAAGGAGTCAAAGCAAGATACCTTTCATTACTGACATGCCATCTACTGAAAAGAAGTAGAAGTTAGTCCGAAGTAGCTAACAGTGAGCCCCAGGTACTAACTTCCCTGAAGCACTGAAATAGGAAGGGGTGGAAGAAAGTTGTGAAAGAAACCCTCAGGGATTCCTCCTTTTTTCCCTTGTGATCCCTTTAATCCTTGAATTGTCAAATCACATGGAAAATAATAGAGCTGCGCAGTTCTGAGACTTAAGTGATGTTATCTTTTTAAAAGAAAATATTAGGTCTTCTCACATCTCTGGACAGGAACAGGGCATGCATTTGGTGTAGAAAAGAGTAACCTGGAACAAGAGATGCATGTTGTTTTTTTCGGTTTTAATGTATTATTATCTATGACTAAGCAGGCTGCACCCAGTAAGAGAAAAAAAAATTACAACCCATACTTTATTATTCTATTATTTTTTATTTATTTTATTATTTATTAATATTTTATTTTTTTTCCTTTTTGAAAACAGATGATTCAACGAGAAGCAGATGTAAAAAGTAAGGTAACCGCAGTGGCGCTTACAGACTCTGTTCACAACGTGTGGCATCAAGAAGCGGGCAAAACGATTCGAGAATGGATGAGAGAGGTGAGATGAGATTTTTTTCAGTGACCAGATGAATGAGTGTGAGCCTTTATATCTTGCACCCCCCACCAGTTTATATCATCTCCCGCCCCCAGACTCCCTTTCTAGAGGCAGAACATTTAGCGAGAAGAGAAAAAGTAGACATGGTTGAAATACTAACAGAAAACCCTTCTGAAAAACAAACGTGTTTCAGAAAGCCCTTCTCCCTCTTTGGGCATTCTGTAGAATGTTGTCTATGCGTGCGGTATACGGTAGCAACTTCATTGGAAGAAAGTCATGATCTGTTAGGAGATATTATTCCCTGAGTTTTAATTTTTCCACCAGCCATTTAGCATGGGTGCTGCCCACTGACAAGAAAGAAGCATAAGGTACCATTGGTTCTCATCCTTTCCTTGAAAGGTGATCTGTATGTGCCACTCTTAAATGGGTTGGCTCACTACCACCAGTAGCGGGAGAAGTAAAAAGCTGAAACAGTGTTTCGTCAGACTGAACCTGGGGCTCCGAGAAACCCAAGAGCTGGTCATAGTCCAGCCTCAGGCTAAGCTTCTTTTCACCCTAAGGGCTGGTGAGCCTGAAAATGATCATGACTTACTGAACATGCTCCCATTTTTTTTTAACTTTCAACCCATTATTGCTTTTGCTTTGGTTGTAGATGTACAGCTGAAACTTCTTTTTTATTTCTATTTACCTTTCTGATATTATAAGTAATTGACATCATCCACACCGTGCTTTATCAGTTGTTTGGTCAGATCATATATTTCTATAAATGAGAACTAGTTGACCTTCCTGATTTTCTCCCACTCTCTCTTGATAGAATACCCAGATATTTATCCAGTTGGCCTCTCACCATAGGTATGGTGGGTAACTTCTAACCAGCCCTTACAGTGCACTGTAAGGAACAAAGAGTTAATGTTTGGAAAGAGTTTTGAATAAATAGAAGGACTAAGCTGTATAATCCCATAATGGAATAATCATAATATTACCAGTCTGTTTTCACTGTCGTTATTATCCATTAGAAAAGGTACATTCATCATGCAAAAGTCTAGAATGTATTTACTCCAGTCCTCATAGTATAATAGATAATAAAGGTGGGCTTTTAATCTGTTCTAACATCCTGGTGTTTTCTGACCACGTTGCTTTGCATAGTTTTCCTTTCACAGTTTATCTACATCCTCAATGGTCTTTTCCAAGGGCCTTTTTTTTTTTTTACCCCCAAGAGAAATTTTGCATATTTCCTACCTATACATTTTTCGTGGTATTTATCTGTCCAAGTGGATATGTAAACAGCTCCCAGCATTATGTAAAGTAGTAAGGTTGAATAAATGCACCTTTTCCCCACATATAACCAATATGGAATTTAGTATTTGCCCAAACTAGAAATACCCCGGTTCATCATGTTTGAATTGGGAATTCTTCATGTTTCATTCCAGGTGGCAAACATAGCAAAATTTATTTAGGTTTATTTCTTTTATAAAAATTTGTATCTCAAATTCCAGTTAGTTAACATACAGTGTTATATTAGTTTCAGGTGTACCATAGAGTGATTCAGCGTTTCCATACATCATCTGCTGCTCATCATGACAAGTGCCCTACTTAATCCCCATCACCTGTTTACCCCATTCCCCTCACCCGCCTCCCTCTGGTAACCATCAGTTTGTTCTCTGTAGTAGATTTGCTTCTTTACTCTTTGTAACTAAGACTGGACTAATGCCACCTTCAAAAATCAGAATATATTTGTGCATTTTTTTCCATTAACGGAAATAGACAATAATTGAATTCCTCTTAATTCAATGAAAGCTCTCATTAATTTCTTTGCAAGTATAGCTTTTATAAATCTTTTTAATATTATATAATTTTATAAACAACCTACTTCTTGAATAGTTCTTTTATTCCCTCAGTTATGCCTGAGGCATGAAACAGCATGAAGAGTTTTTTATTACGACATACCAAAATTCAGACCCCCAATTCAATCACTTACCTAACTCTGTAATCTTGGGTACATTGTTTAATCTCTTTGAGATTCATTTTTTTCATCTATGAAATCTAATACTTACCTTGCAGATATGGTTGGGAAATAACATATGAAAAGAAACAGCATGGGGGTATCTGGGTGGCTCAGTCATTAAGCATCTGGCTTCAGCTCAGGTCATGATCCCAGGGACCTGGGATTGAGCCCTGCATCAGGGTCCCCTGCTCATCGAGAAGCCTGCTTCTCCCTCTCCCAATCCCCCTGCTTGTATTCCCTCTCTCACTGTCTCTCTGTCTGTCAAATAAATAAATAAAATCTCAAAAAAAGAGGAAACTGCATGGACATGGGCATTGTAAGGAAATTCAATAAATCATAGCTCTCATTGTTGTTACCTTCTTGCCCCCCAAGTAACATAAAATATTTGATTGTATTATTTTGTCTTATGGATGATTTCCATATTCCATTTTCAAAATATTTTACCAAAGGGTAGTAATTCAGACCAAGGAGTAAGAAACTGGGTTTTGATAACGATTCTAGCTTAGTCATTCACTGGGTAAAGGAGTAACTGACAGCTAACATATCCCAGGTACTCTACACTAAGGCTTATTGTCTTGGGAAAGCCACTCCATCGTTCTGAGCCTGTTTCTTAATTGTGAGTTAGAGATAATAATTCCTATTCCATCTACTTTGTGAACTATTATGAGAATCAGAGGTGACAACCAAGAAGAAAATCCCTTGAAAAGCAAATGGTGCTTCATAAAAAAATGAAATGCATTGTTATAAAAAAACACTGTGGTATCCCAGAGATAAAAATTAGTAGATCGGGGCGCCTGGGTGGCTCAGTGGGTTAAAGCCTCTGCCTTCGACTCAGGTCATGGTCTCAGGGTCCTGGGATTGAGCCCCTCATCGGGCTCTCTGCTCGGCAGGGAGCCTGCTTCTTCCCTCTCTCTCTGCCTGCCTCTCTGCCTACTTGTGATCTCTGTCTGTCAAATAAATAAATAAAAAATCTTTTAAAAAAAATTAGTAGATCATCACTGATAGAGCTTTGAAATTATCCCCGCTCAGAGAGCCTCTCTAAAACAAGAAGAGAAAGGGAGACTATGGCAGCCTATGCCAGATATCCTTGTAGGAACTCCCCAAAATGTGTGACCCCCTCATAGAGAATTTAGTGTGTTTTGGCAAGATTAAAATCTAGTGTTTGTTTCCAGCACTTATGATAAAACTCTGTCCCCTTTTCTTTCCCCATTTTTAGTCTCTGTCCACTCTGCAAGACCCCTTGAAATAAAGAAGAACAAACAGTCCTGGGTTCAGTAAATAGAGCTATTGTCTTGAGCAGGAGTGTTGGGAGGGGGTTGTGGAAGGGTAACTTGTGTCCCGCAGCATCCCACTTCTGACCACTGCCTACTCCGGCTTTAATTAGAATCAGCTCAAAATCTGAGATATTTTGCAAATATGTCAAGAAAAACAATTTAGCTAAACTGTAGTGTTGTCCATAAAAATAGTAGTCTGGCTGCAGATGAAGCCTCAGTGTTTGGGGCCTCTTAATGATTAGCTCCAATATTTGACCAAACACCACTTTAAACCTGGAAGTCAGACAGGGTTCACATTGCCCAGTCATTCTTATTATACTGCAAATTTGTAAAACTCCTTTTTGTTCTGTAAGCATATTTAAGTTAATGTGATCAAGGTATCGATGTTAACTATTCATCTACTATAAAAAGCTGATATACTTTTTAAAATGTCAGCAATTAGCAAACAGAAGGTTAAGTACTATATTCTTATATTATATAGTATTAAAAGAACAATCTCTTTAAAAAAAAAAAAAAAGAAAGGAAGGAAGAAAGAAAGAAAGAAAGTCAGTCAGAGAGGACTACTTTTGGCAATTACTCTGAGTGAAAACTACTCCGAAGCAAAAGACCAAGCATACATACTTCACCATGACTCATGAGGAAAGGTACAAAATAGCCTAAGGCAGATCCTAAGAGACCCGTCCTTCCTCCAGCTCCAGGACTGTAAAGTGGATAAGGGTGGACATGCAGGACGTTATGCTAGGTGAAATAAAAAACCAGACACAGAATGAAAAATACCACATGATCACATGATTACACATGGAATCCAAAAAGATTGAATACATAGAGAATAGAATAGTGGTTACCAGTGGGGTAAATAGGGAGATGTTGGTCAAAGAGTACAAAGTTGCATTTATGAAGGATGCTTAAGTGTAGATGTATGGCATGATGACTATATTCAGTACTGAATTGAATATTGTAAATTGGCCAAGAGAATAGTTTGCAGGTTCTATCACAGCACACACACACACACACACACACACACAGTAACTATGTGAGGAAATAATTAGCTTGACAGCATTAATCATTTCATGATGTATATGTGTATCAAATCATCATGTTGTACACCTTAAGTACATAGTTTAAAAAAAGGCTGATTGGGTAAATGTCATTTCCTGACATATACCTGGCCTCTGAAAGTCTCCAACCAAGCCAGATTTATGGTTCTGCATAACTGTCGTGAACCCTTAGCCAGCATCATGATTTCGGAGTGGCAGTCCCCGAAATACAACCCAGTAAATCGTAGTAGTTCTTGTCTGAGGACACGATGCCTTCCATTTTGAAGCTCTATCTCTACAGCATTGGTGGATCTCAGACAAATGAAATAAAAATGAGTAAGAACCTAAATTCAACCAGGACAGCAAATATATCTCAAAGTACCTTGTATAGGATACCTACTATGTATTTTTCTCTCTAAACATAGTACACTTAGTTTTAATCTTCTTATTAAAAATTTTAATCCATTTCATATCTGCACTGAAACATTGTCCAGCCTTGGTTCAAAGGTCAAAGAGGGCCACTCAGGACTATGGCCTACAGGCACTTCTAGTCTATGTTAATAGTTCCCAGCATTTTGGGTTTCACAAGGAAGACAATTTACAACCACAAAAAAACTGTTTAAGTTTGTAATTTCAGAATTAAAAGACCTTTAATTGAGAACACATAACTCTAAGAAACACTGTGTAGCACATATTTTCCCCCTCATACCCAGAGAAACTTTAATTCCATTATCCATCCCAAATTCTTGGCTCTGGCCAAGGGCTTCTTTCTCTCTGCTTGTGGCTGGGATGAGACGGGGCTACATCTGAGGCTCAGACACACTCTCTTGATCTAGGAATGCATGCCTTGCTGTCCGCTCAGGGCATCTGAGAATAAGATCTCCAGGGGTTTGGGACACACTCCAGCATGGTTTGACTTTAGGTAGGTCAACTGCCTCATCAGCTGCCTTTGTTGCCTTCCTGGACACTATGCTAGTGTTCATCTCAGCTGAAGAACTGGGATCGGGGCAGATGGAGTCACTGAGAAGCGGGATAGAATAAATATTAGAAAAACAGAGAGATGTGGTTTTTAAACTAGAGAAATGCATCAGAATAGGAAGTTGGATTTGATGCAGTGGAATTTCAGATTAATTTCAGATTAAATTCTTGGGTAAGGGCTGTACGTCTTTCTCATATTTCTTTCTTTACATGTATTTCTCAGCACATTTATGTTATTTTATTTTGTTATACTCTGTCATGTGGCAAACATTTTTATCTTGCTCTGCCCTTTTCTCTATATATTTTTCCAGGGGGATGAAAATGTTACATATACATGTACACACATGTACATGACACTCATCAAACTTACTATATCGATCCTTTACAATCCTGCACAGGCACTTTGTCATTCCAGAAAACTTTTCGCCATATTCAGCTTAAAGGGTGTTTATTTCTATCCTATTTTTATGGGAAATCAAAGCCTAAACATCTGCTTAGATAAAAAATGAAATTTCAGAATCATAAGTGTTAACCTGTCTTTTGCTTTAAATGTTTGAGTTAAAGGTGACCTGGATAAAATCCATTTTATTCAGCTTTTTAAAGTCAGTGATCACGAGCTAGAAAATGATTAATCGCCAACATATTGTAACGTACCATCATTTTTATTAATACTAGAAATATCCTATAAGACGTAGTTTTACATATGGGAGGTGTAGGTGAGCAGTATTAAGACTGACATATCACCTGGGTAATAGCCGACTTTCATCAGATTTGGAGGTACTACTAGGATGAATAATAATTAAAATATATACCTAATCGCTGCCTGTCTGTCGGTAGTGCTAATTGCTGTCATTGAAAAGACTGAATTGTTTAAGAGAAAGAGAGAAAAAGAGAAAGTCATTCTTCATTGACGCTATCTCCCTGTATCATTGGGAGCCTATTTTTAGTACCTATAGAAGTCATGATTTTTGAATTTATTAGGGTCTGTGATGAATGATAAAACAAATCATCCATTTACATATCTTGACACTGCTTTGGAGAATACTTATTTCTTACAAGCAAGTGTCACATTGTATATAAAAGCTGGCTAATTGTGTGCTGATCTTCTGCATTATCTAGAACTCTGTGATGTGGTATTCTATCAATAGTAATAGTAATTTTACTTACTTCAAATGTATGAAATATCTCTCTGAAATCGTATTTCTTTTATAATTTCTGCTCTCTCACATTGTATAATTTTTGCATTCAACTGCTAATTAAGATTAGGAGTGCAAGTTATAGAATACATATTCACTTTAAACCATCAAGCTTTTGTAATACATAAGAATACTAATATTTTATCCATTTTAAATGTAAAAAGAAATAAAGCATTTAAGAACATTACTGGATGTTGTTTGTTTTCATGGTTTTTTTTTTTTTCCACACAGTTCAATAGTTTCATTGATCTACTGTTTCTTACAAAAATCTGCCATGCTTTGTGAACTTCACTTTCTAATCTCATACAGCAACCCTTCCTTTATGTTATTCCTGCTCTCCCTGGTCCCAGAACAGTAGGGTTGCCTTGACAAATCTATTCAAAAGCCATTCCTCGGCCTTTATTGGTGGGGACTGGGGCCTTTGAAATTCTCTCCTCACTGCAACACAGCTGACATCTTCTTCCAGACAGAATGAATTAAGGAAATACAATAAGACACTTGATCTACCAGTCAAGGATCTTTCCACAGTGAGGACGGATTCCATGGTGCACAACCAGGGCAGCAAGCATCTAAAAATACACAATACATGCTTGTTTACCAGAATAGCAATCAGCGATTTTTCCAACATGATTGATAGGATGATTTCTTTTAAAATAAAATCTGTCTAGAAATGCAGTGTGTGTGTGTGTGTGTGTGTGTGTGTGTTAGAAATTTTTAAAAAGCCATATGAGGTTAATCACATTTTTTAAGCCAGCCTTTAAATACAGACTTAAAATGTATGGAAAGGATATAAATTATTTTTATTTCATTTGTCTGAGTGGTAAGTCATCATTATCCTAAAGATTGATTTTAATATTGAAGGCTTTGTGTCCTCAAAACCACAGCTACAATTCACTAGGTTGTGTTTCTTTTGAACTACTTGATAAAGCCTTCATTGAACAAGGTTGAAGTAAAAAAGGAAAGAAAGTATATTTAAGGAGTAACTGCAAAATTTATTTCTTCTAGTATTACTGAGACAAAGACTGTAGTTTAAAAATAAAACTATTCTTTCACATGATCAAATTAATATTTATTTCCATCTTAAAGTTAAAAATGGATGTCCTTTTCTGTTTCCCTTAATTATAATTTTAGCCTTTTCTTAGAAACATATCATGGTTCATAGGAGGTTACGTGTCTTCCTAATATCAGCACAGATAATTTGCTGAATTGTCAAAGATAAACTTTTTTCCACAGCCACAGTGGTCATGAATAATACTAACTGTTTATATAAGAAAATCTTTTACAGTGCATGGAAAATAAATTGGATATACTTCTAGTGTCGATTATATAGGATAAATTAATCTCTACAGCCTAAAAAGTTTATCTTGGTTTAAAAATGTTTCAACAGAAAATTGTCTCTCTTGCATTGCAGAATTGTTGTAATTGGGTCTCTAGCTCAGAACCATTAGACACATCAGTGGAGTCCATGCTGCCTGATTGTCCCCGAGTCTCAGCAGGTATGTGTTTGATGAGAGATGTATGGGGTTTTTTTAGGGTGAAAAAATATGGTAATGAAATGTGGAATTCTATTTTGTGAATTAAGCATGTTGTTCTGCCTTGAATCTTTGAATGAATTATTGGTAACATACGGCATGGGTCTGATCTGCTACCAGAAATTTGTTGAGTGACTAAAAATAGTAACTAACACATTCAGTGAAGATGAATAGGTGAAGCAATTTGAGAGTAATGTAGACAGTTGCTGCTAAAGCTTTGGGAGACAAGATGTACATAAATAAAAAGTCGATTAAGACAAGGACTAGGTAGCTAAGCAGGATCTCTGAAAATTTGTCTCGCATTGAATACCAACTCAAGGATACAACAGGCAGTCAAGGCTATGAGTTCAGAGAGGTGAGATTGGTGTGGCCTAGAATCTTTAAAAAATTTTTTCACGCAGAAGATTTTGGCTGGACCTTGTGCATTTGGTAGGATGTGGATTCTAGAAAGATGTGCAGGATTGGCATTTTAGGCAAAAGAAACAGAGCAATGTAAGGAATAAGGGCTGGAATGGATCTGAAAGTGTTCATAGGATACAAAGGCAAGGTGGGCCTGCCTCTTGAAAGAGGGGGAGTGGGGAGTACCTCAGGAAGCAAGTGGGCTTAGGAAGACAGTTGAAGGATGGAATGGCTTTCCAGCCTACAGAGTTTGTACTTCAGTCTCTGATCTCTAGAGAAGAGGAGTGACATTTTTGGCTGCTTTCTGATTTTGGCTTTCACAATTCCCAGCCAGTTTGGATGGTAAACACAGAATGAGCGGTGGTATCTGGTTATGGCTGCAGAACAGAAATGGGCTTGCTTTACCCGGAGATGTCAGAGAATGAGCAGAAGTTTTGAGCATGAACTACTCCATACAAAAATCATAGGAGGGGGGCTCCTGGGTGGCTCAGTGGGTTAAGCCTCTGCCTTCAGTTCAGGTCATGATCTCAGGGTCCTGGGATCGAGCCCCACATTGGGCTCTCTGCTCAGCAGAGAGCCTGCTTCCCCCGCTTCTCTCTGCCTGCCTCTCTGTCTACTTGTGATCTCTCTCTCTGTCAAATAAACAGATAAAACCTTGGGGAAAAAAAAAGAAAAATCATAGGAGGTAGTTGATCACTAAGCCTTTAGAGTTGTAGACATGTCTACATATTTGAAGGAAATGATTTGGAGAATAGTTCAAATATTAGGTAAAGAACAATTACTGTAACTATGTTTCATTATCACTAATACCTAAACTTGAACTCAGCTTCACTATCATTATAGCTAAACTTTTCAGGTCTTTTGGTTAAGAAACATATATGCTACTCTAAAAATATATATAAATATATTTAAATATATAAATATATATACACACATATGTGTGTATGAGTATGTATTATATATGTTATATATTATAATATATATAATACATTACATATGCATATATAATATATGTATATTAAATAATTGATTATTTTTATTAGCAGCAGTTATGCTCTATAAAATCACTGAGAATGCTGAATTAGTGAGTACAGGGTTAGGTTCCTATAAGCTTCTGATCACAACGTTTTCATCAACCAACCAATATATAACCTTGCTTTATGGATTGAATGTCTCTATTAAAGACACCTTATTTAATAGATATTGTTGATTCACTAACATTGAACTCACAGCCAACAGCACTAACTCACACCTGAATGAAGCTTGTCTAATACATTTATTTTCTCCGTAAGACACATCACAGTCTTCTTAGGAACACTAGTGCTTTGTGCTTAGGTACACTAAACAAAACTTCAGCACTCTACTTGGGGGCCACTTCAAATAGTGATATCAAAAAAAAAAAAAAACCCACAAAAATGTGAAAAACATGGCACTAAATAGTCTGCAAAAAGGACATTTGTTTGCAGTGTGAGAACTGAAACAAGAAGATAAAGCTTGGCCTTATTTGGCCTTTGGAATGCATGCTAGGCAACTCGACCGTTCACCACTCTGCACATGTGCATGTCTGTCAATGACCACAAAAAGCACCCTGAGTATTGATTTTAGGGTTTACAAATAAATTTTAGTCACGAGGTGAATTCACAAATACGGACTCTCTAAGTAAGAGGATCGGCTATATATAGTAAAGGATTTGTTAAAAGGATTTGACCTGGGATTTGACTGGAGCTGGTAAAGCAGGCTCTGTAAGAATGTCGACTTTGCCTTCTGTGCTGGAGCTTGGAACTACCAAGCAGATGTTTGTTAGGGGGAGACGGATGAATGAGTTAGACCCCATGACCATGAACTAGAGCCCGTGAGGATGGACTTAAACTCATGTCCATTCTTTTTGCCTCTGTCCTTGGTGGTTGTCCTTGGTTGTCCTATAGAAGCCAGTGTCCTTTGTCACAGAGCTAACCACATACACACCTGGCCCAGGAGTCAACGATGCTGAAGGGGAATTCAGGGGAAGGCGGGACAGGTGCAGTCCTGGCTACTGCCTCATGCCCCCAGGTGAGCTAGCAGATAAACAACAACATGCGTGAGCTAGAAATAGCTACTGCTTTAATTTAGCCCTCCAAGTGTCCCACAGAAATTCCCTTTATGTAACATCCTGATCAGAAACACATGGTTTGAAAAAGAATTCTGGGAAATATAGTTCAACCTAGCCAACCTGACACATTACAGAGCCTCTACAGTTCCCCCCTTGTCAACCTGGCAGTTACATACATCTCCTTAAACCAGACTCAGTCTACGAAGACATTTATGAAGTCAGGCAGTGAAGTCAGTGATACAACTATCCCATGTACAGATGAAAACACACTAACCCTTTCCTAAGAAAAGGATACAAAGTGGGCCTCAGTGGCTCGGTCAGTTAAGCATCTGCCTTCAGCTCAGCTCATGATCCCCAGAGCTTGAGGTCGAGTCCTGCTTCGGGCTCCTTGCTCCAGGGTGAGCCTCCTTCTCCAGCTGCCTCTGCCTCCTTCCCTCTCTCTGTCTTTCATACATAAATAAGGAAAATCTGTAAAAAATTTTTAAAAAGTTACAAAACCCCTGTATTGTTCTTGGCTGATGTCCATTCTTCTCACCTTTTGTATCCTATAATTTAAATACTGAGAGATAAGGCTAGTTACTGTTGATACATCTTACATGAGATGATAAAGAAATAAAAGAGGAGAGGAAAACTAAAATAATTTAATACATAGATTCAAATCAAAATAAGAAAGAAATACCTATAGCTATTACATTGCTCATTTTTATAAGTGGCCATGTGGTTATAATTGGTATTTAAAACTACCCTAATTCTTTATTCCCTTTGTTCTTAACAAGTACCTCAACTGATCATAGTTCTTGCCTGGTAGGCTGACCCATACCTTCATTCCTGAAGCAGCTTGAGGAATGAAGCTATCCTCTCTGAGTTAGATGGTTGTAGTTTTCTATTGACATTAATCACAGGAAGTACTAACAGGTGTCCTTGATGACTTCCTGCATTGCAGACACACTCCTCTTTATCCCCATTGTCTAGTAGGAACTCAGTTATCCCTTAGTTATCAAGATCAGTCACTCCCCCAATATAGTAACACTCTTCCACTCCTTGTTAATTCAGTGGTGTAAGGAGCCCAAAGTGGCAAGATGACAGTCTGAGCTTTTAATTCAATAGAATCATTGTTGTGTCACTTAAGAGAAGCATTCCTCCCTATGGAATGAAGACTTTTAGATCAACAGAGCCTAAAATCATAGGAATGGGAGAAAACAGCTTTGCTAGTAGGTCACTGAGGGTAGGAAGAAGAGAAGAAGCCAGTCCCATGTCCATCCCTTCATTCCCAGACCTGGGAGAAATATCACATGTATTAAACGCTGATGTACGGTACATACCACACCCTAGAGTACATTGTCTCAGACCCACAGGGTGTTGTCACCTAAGATAACACCATAACTGAGTCTTCAGAAAGTTACTTGACCGCTTTATGAAGCCTGCTACTTAAGTAAGGATAATGGGGAACATGTAGGACCAGTGAATGTTAGCAGACTTCAGGCTCTTTCTTACCCTCTTACTTGCTCTCTCTGATGGAAGCTATCTCTGTGTGAGGTACTCTGTGCAGAGGCCCAGGGGCAAGGAACTGGTGTCTCTGGCCAAGAGTCAGTGAATGCCTGAGGCCTGTCTACAGCCCTATGCATGACCTTGGAAGAGTATCTTCTCCCCCTGATCCACCTTGAGATAAGTGCAGCCCCAGCCAACACCTTGATGATGGTGAGACCATAAGCCAGTCACTCAGTTAAACCACACTCAGATTCCTAACCCAGAGGACCTGTGAGTGCTAAATATGTATTTTTTAAAGCTGCCCAGCTTGCTGGTTATTTATTCCATAGCAGTAAATCATTAATACAGCAAGTTTAAATGTGAACTCTGGTAGTCACTGAAGCCTAAGTAGAAACATCCTTAACTTTTTTGAGGCTAAAGTCTTATAAGGTTCATCTTTGCCCTGATACCTGAGGATTTTGAAGTAACTCTAAAAAGGCACTAAAAAGTTCATCAAAGACAATTCATTCCTAGCCTGCTTCCCTGACTGCCTCATTAGACTTGCTGTACATTGTATCGGAGACAAGATACTAAGTTTCTTCTTTATCACATTTTGCTCACTGTATCATTTGATCACTAAGTTTTCTCACTCTGCAGCTTTTCACTGACCAATTTTCTTAGGACAGAATTTGCTACTCCCTGCACCCTTCTATTTCCTATGTGTTTTTATTCCAACAAATTTGGCCTAAATCGGAAGGAGATTTTCACATACACTCTCCATCATATATCCATTTATTTCTCATATATGTATTGGTCACTTATATTATGTCCCAGGTACTATTCTGGAAGTTGGGGACATAGCAGTGAAGAATAGCTTATCATGACTATCTTTTTTTACAAAAAAAAAACAACAACAAAAAAAAACTGTTTCTTGGACCTCTACCACTAGTATGTTCTTCCCTTTGAACCTGTCATCGTTAGGTTGCATCAAATGAGAAAAGGTTGGGGG